AGTATTGAGATAGTCTTGAGCAGTTTGTAGCCCAAAGCTGATCTTGAGTGGTTTTATCGACTCAATGGCATCATTATGAACCAGGTAGAATCGTTGTTTTGGGGCCACATCTTACTTCTGGAGACTTCAGAGATCATTGTTAGGAAAATTTACTGTTCATTTGGGGAAGCTTAAACATTATTGATATCAAAATGGAAAGTTTAACTTTTGGGATAGCACTATATCTAAAGAAAGTTTCCAAAGAGTCAAGAAAAAGTGTTAGGAGAAACAGGAATTTGACAACAGTCTCGAGATTTTTGGTTTTCTTCTGTCCCATATCAGGTGGTTCTTCTGATTCCTATTCCTGTAATTGTGTAAATAGCGAAGTTAATTCTATTTTATCAGGAATAAATTCAGCAGTTTCAATATATAAAACAATTCTTTCTGTATATTGAGAGTCAGTAACTATATTGAGAGGTTCTGTAAAGTCCATTAGTACCATAAGGATGGCATACAATTCTGACTTTTGTACAGAATCATAAGGGCTTTGAGCCACTTACTTAAATTGCCTAATTTATATCCTGCCTTTCCTGATTTATTTGCATCAGTATAGAATATAGGGATTCCAGAGATTGGTGTTCTCCATACAATGTGTGGAAGGACCCAACTGATTCTTTTTATTAATTTAATTCTCTTGATTTTGGGATAAATGTTTTAATCTCTCCCAAAAAGTTTCTGCAAACTCTTTACCAGTATTCATTATCTTTCCATAGAGAGGAAATTTTTTCATTAGTTAAAGGTACTACAATTTCTGCTGGGTCCATTTCTGTCAGTTGATAAAGTCTTAATTTTTCTTTTAAAATCAAAACAGAAATCTTTTCCAAGTATGTCTTTTATTTCTTATTCTATTTATGTGGTAGAAATATCCATTCTAATATAATATCTTCCCTGTGTATCAAAATCCCTGTAGGGGATTGCCTGGAGGGTAATATAACCAGAATTCAGTTAAATTTTGGATCCACATGATCCACATGTGCATTCTGTAATTTCTTTTCCATCAAAGCCAATTCTCTTTCAGCTTCAGCTGATAATTATCTTGGATTATTTAAGTCCTTGTTCCCATCTAGGGTACTGAACAAATTACTCAGTTCATCAGGACTTATCCCAGTTGTGGGCTGTAAATTGGAAATGTCTCCTAGCAATCTTTGAAAGTCATTATAAGTTGATCTCTACTGATTTATACCTTGTGGGCTCTAAATTTTTGTAGACCTATTTTATATCATAAGTAATTAATAGTATCTCCTCTGTATTTTTCAGAAGCAATTTGTAATCCCCAGCAAGGAAAATGTACACAAATTATTTCCAACTGTTTTTGCACAAAATATTGGCACAGAATGGGGCTATTTAATATTCCCTATGGGAGAATCTACCGTTATTATCTCTTAACAGGCTGAGAATTATTTTAAGCAGATACCCTGAAGACAAAGTTTTCCCCATCCTTTTCTTGTTGAGGTATAGAGAAGAAACGGTCTTTTAAATCAATAACTATAATAGGCCATTCTTTAGGTAACAGAGAAGGCAGAGGCAGTCCAGGCTGTAGAGAGCCCACCAGCTGAATAACTTTAGTTGTGGCTCTCATATCCATCAGCATTCTCCATTTTCCAGAATTTTTTAAAATAACAAATACAGGAGAATTCCAAGGGATGGCAGATTCTTCAATATGTCAAGCATTTAGCTGCTCCTGAACTAGCTGTTCTAAGGCCTGTAGTTTCTCTGATGCCATAGGCCACTGCCCAACCCAGACAGATTTGTCAGTTAACCATTTTAGGGGTAGGACTGTTGGTACCTCTGAGAGCTCAACAGCTGTTGTTCCCTGTTTTTGTACAACCTGAACTGTCAATGATTGTTTTTTATAGTGTCTTATAATTTATACCCAGAAATATGAATTGTTTTATGGTCCATTTCTGAGATTGGAGGAATATTAATCTGGGTATTCCATTGCTGTAACCACAACAAAAAAGCAAAGAAAGATGAAGACTGGTCTTTCTTCTTTTTTTATCTTTATATTTGAGATTATTATACAACGACATTGTTTCTCCTTTGCCTTTCCTCCCTCCAAACCCTTCCACATATCCTTCCTCTCTCTCTTTCAAATTCATGCCTCCTTTTCAATTAATTGTTACCATATGCATATGTGTTTGTACTCCTAAATACAACATGCTCAGACTCTATAATGTTACTTGTCTGTAGGTTTTCAGGGTTGACCATTTGGTATTGGATAACTAATTGGTGTGCACTTTCCTGGAGAAGATTATTTCTCTCACTCTCAGCATTCCTTTGTTGCCTGTATTTCTTTGTGTAGTGTTGAGGCTCACAATCTTTCATGTCATTCATTTGTTATTAGTCTTATGTGGAGTAATATCATAAAAGGCATACACATTGTAGAAATGTAATAGTCAGACATAGTCTATAGTTTCTCCAAGTAAAACTAAATATGCATTATTTAACTAGCTACTTTACCCAATGTTAAATCAAGTTTATAATATTTTGTTTTCCTCTGGGAGTCTACCACTTGTCCTCCTAGTAAGATCTGTATACTTTAATTTCTCTGTTCTTCCATGAGAAAGCAAGATATGTTGGGACTCAGGAGGTTGTCATAATAATGAATTCCAATAAAATTTATGCCAATATTTCAGTGGCAAGAGGCCCAAATATCTTTTCTATGGGAATTCTTCTGTGTAAAAAAATGTCAATTCTCAATGTTGTACTTATCTGTGATTTTTAGATTATTTAAAAACATTATAATGAAGATACAATTAAGATATCCTGGCCTTGGTATATATGCTTCATTCAGTCTACATAAAACCCAACCTCTTGCCTCTAGATGAGCAGTCTATAAGAACATACAAGAGTCAAACAGTGGTATAGCATTGTCTTTAATAACAGAATAGATAGGATAATTATAGAGATGTCAGAGCGGTTAAGAACACTGGATAGATATTCTTCCAGGAGACCTCAGTTTGGTTCCTAGAACACAAATTGTGGTTTATAACCATCTGTAACTCAAGTTCTAGGGAATCTGATACCCTCTTCGAGCTTCTGCAGTCACCAGGCAATACATGGTACACATACATACATTTAGATAGAGCATTCATAAGCATGACTTAAAATAAAAATAAATTTTAACAAAAGAAAGATAATTGATGGCAAACTCAATAGAGTATGACCTCTCACATTGTGTTCACTACTAAGATCATATATGAAACCCATCTCTGATGAAAATGCTGCTGTGAGGAAAAAGAAAGATTTGAAAGTATTCTACTGACCCACTGGGTTCCCACAATTTGGCCCTGAGACATGGCATCCAGGACAAACGTGTGAGCTATTCATACATTCATAGCTATTCCAGCATACATGCAGCCTGTGGGCCCCAGCTTTGTAATGTTTAATGAATAAAATTATTTTTGCATTTTCTATGCACATGTGAATAAAGTTAACAATATGTGTGTAATTCAGTTCAAAGTGTCCTGGGCAACAGTGAGTATATCCACAGGTGTAGACATTGGTAAAACAGGTTCTCTTCATAGAAAATTCATGGATCTGCTATAATATTACTTAGCCTTTAAATTTCATTATAGTTAATCTACTATATAATGTGATATTTTTAATTTCTGCCTTCTCTCCCCTCTCTCTTTCCCCACTTTTCTTTTCATATAACTCACCACTCAAATTTGTGTTAACATATTTTGGTATTATCCACTGGAGTGTTGACCAACTACAAGTAGCCCTATGCCCTCACCTTTCTGAAGGCATTATCCATCAGTATCTCCTAAATTATAGGGTGAAGCCAATGTCACTTCCCCACTCCATGTTTAACTGCTTACTATCTTGCAGTAAGCAGTTCTTATACAAGAAAGCACAGCTTGGGTCTGATCATGTCCAAAAGACACTGCTTTACTCTGGTACTCCCCAGTCTTTGCCTCTTAACATTTTTTCTGCCATCCTCTTCCAAAGTGGTCTTTGAAACTTGGGTTTTCATGATACAGATATTTCATTAGTGGCTAAGCAATTTTTTAATACTTCTTCTCTGGACTTCTATTACTTAAGAATTTTTTTGTTAATTGCTATGCACTTAACTCTCTAACAAGGCCTAAGAGCTTCAGCTAGTCTATGAATATAGAGATCAAAATTTAGAAGGAAATTTGAGATTGAACAGTTTCTTAGACAAGGGGTAGGAGCTGCACTTACCTGTGACTGTATGGATAAGTTTTAGAATGTAGTTAGAAATTATTCTGGTCTATTAAATTGTCAGGTTTAGGTGAGTGCAGGAAGCATGGGGACAAGCATAGGCATTCACCAGGCTAGGTCAGATAAAAGGGTGTACCAACCTGGCTGGACCTAGAGAAAAGACAATGGCATGGGATGACTGAAGAAGGTCTGATGGGCCAAACGGACTACTCTTGAACACAGGATGTGAATCCTAGCCCAAACCTGGAACTTGGGAAGGCATGGACATGGCTCCTAAGACTAGACTGGACCACTGAGTGTAGTACTAGTTGGTCCTATTTGAGTGCAGTTGACTTAGGGATAAGAGAGAAGATATAACAAAGCTGAACCAGAGTGCAGGCGGTCCTGGCCTTGCAGAACCTGTTAGGTAGCTATGATATGGGGCAACAGGATGGGTTCTGGCAAACTGAATAACTTTCTTGAGGTATCCCAATATACCCATTACTTAGTAATGTGGAAATACTTATAATTGTGAATTTATTCTCTGATTCTAATAACTATATCAACGTTAATATCAATTTACTGTGATTCTAAAGTAAGTTGTGAATTATTCCAATTTCCAATCAAACCTCTTAAAGCATTTAATATACTTAGTACTAAATGAATAAAAGATAACAAATTTTCTTTTTAAACTTTGACGTATATACAATTTATTTTTCTTTTAAAAAACACACATTACACTCAAGTATACCTTCAAAGTGTATAAAATTAAGACTATTTAAAAGGATGTAGCATCATGAATATTCTCCAATTCTTGAGGATGAGCAGATGTCACTATCAACAAGCACCACACACCCCAAGAGCATGAGAGAAAGGTCAACTGCATTAATATCAACATGCAAGCAATAGGATAATTTACAAAGAGCAAAAAAGCGGAAGTCTTCATCAGATGACTGAAAGTCTTCAAGACCAGACCAGAAGGTATAATCCACATTTTCTATTGTTCCAAAAACCTGATGACCAAAGTGATAACCAGTCAGTTATAATTAACACAGCTTGTGTTTGCTTTTCCTTTCCTTCCTAGATGTTAAATTACATTTAGCAAAATGATAATAATAATAAGCTTTTTGCAGGCCAGTATCTTTTTTTAGGATAGCTACCTCCAAGATATACTGATGCAAGAGTGGTGAAAATGTTAGGGGGGTAACCATCCACTCATTAATTAGATAAGATGAAACCCATACCTGACACTGTTAATGAGGCTTAGAACCTAAGGCAAGATAGGTCACAGACCTAGTTTAAAACCTATTACTATTATTCGGCTAAATGAACATAGCAATAAAATATTGTGATACACATAGATGAGGATCTTTCAAGCCTCATCAGAGAAGTTTCTTCTTACAGTATATAGTTATTAAAAAGAGGTACATAACTATTCAGTGTGCAGAGATTAAGAGACTCTGAACCACTCTGCCTTAAGTAGGATGTCTTTATCAAACCCCTCCCCTCAAGGATCCAATATCTACACAGGAGAGGAGGGAGAAAATTGTTAGAGGCTGAGTTTGTGGGTGACTGCAAGGAAACAGGGTCTTCCAGACACAATGTGACTGATACACACACAAACTCATACAGACTGAGATAGTATGCACAAGGCCTGAACAGGTTCAAACCAGATAACATTCCAGGACTGAGAAGGGGAAGCAGACACAAAGTCCTATCCCTAAGCAAAAAAGTTATTCGCTATTGATAACTGACACAAAAGGGAAATAATCAGTTTTGTCCAATGGAATAAAAGCAAGTTGCATGCACACATTTTCTTACATTTAATTGACTTCAGATGAAATCTGTGTTTTTATGACTCTGAAGAAAAAGGAACAGGATTTGATACTTGAGCAAAGACTTGGACTTGACCGTAGTAATTAATGCTCGTTAGCAAGGTATAAGCATGATAGGAGACTCTAATGAAATTGTCAGGAATATTTCACTCTGCCCAGACCTACAGGTACTATTCATGCTACTGTGAAAAAGTCATACTTTAATGTTTATCCATTAGTTCTGAGAATGTCTACAAAATTGGGTGTCAAATTTTGTTTTTGCAAAGTGAGGTTTTCAAAATTCAATATCCATTGTAGAAGGTCATATCATTCATGAATGCAGCAAGTGAAGGTAACACTACTCACCTTGTTGAGTATACTCTTGGCATCCTCAAAAAGCTCTGCATTTTTTGTCCTAACGTCTTTGGCTATTGAAAGGATGTCATCATGCATTCCTGGCATACTTCCAACTATGGTCAGGAGGTTGTCAAGAGTGTCGTTCCAAGCCTGCACTCTACTGAGTATCAGTTTTGGAAAGTCTTCAAGCTAAGCAGCATGTTTCAGTAATTATATTAATAAGTGAAATAAAGAAGGATTAATTAGTTTTGGTTTTCTATGAGATATCCAAATTAAATCTCCATTAGTTAGTTTTATGGGAAGGTAGAGTGGTTTGGGGTAATAAAAATAATATAGATTAATAAAGTAAAAATGATTAACCTCTAATTTGTCATCATAAAATAATTATGTATGTATATACATATATATTATTTCCACTTACACATTTAATTGATCATGTTATGCTTTCTATATAAAATTTTGCCATCTGATCCCCCTGTAAACTCTTTCATACTTTATTATTTTACTTGTCTGGGAGAACCCAGGGATTTGCTGGGGCTTAATAGGTGTTCTGATTCAAGAAAAATAGATTCCCCCAGTATAAATGGCAAGACATTTAACATAGATTAATCACACAAACAAACTAGATTGGTCAAAATCATAATTATTTTTAGGTTATTTTAAGATATTAATAAAAATATTCCATGAAGACAACCTGGCATTAATAAGTGTGATTTCCTCAAACTAGAGCAATCCCTCTCCTTGCCTCTAGCAGAGTGGCACATTTTTGGAACATAAGTAAAGAACAACAGGATGTCATTGTTCTTAATAACAGCATGAATAGAAATAACAATAGGATTTTGACTTTCCATTGTGTTCCAGGCACTTACATGAAACTCATTCCTGGTTTAAAGTGCTTCATGTGCTAATATCTTTAGATGTTAAAGAGACAATGAAAAGAGTAGAGAGAAATCCAGTGGAAAGAGGAAAAATACAAGAAGGAAAGGCCCCGATCCAAAGGTTTTGGCAAGGCAGGCTCCTGGGACCATTGCTGCAGATGAATAAGAGTGAGGACTTCAGTTGGATGGAACCGACACTCATTCTGACAGAGAAGGCTGATGGTCCAAGTTCCAGAAAATTTTCAAAGCCTCAGTCTACTTACACCATTCAGCTTTTGTGGATGTTAATTGCAGCACTGTCAATAACGCACATTGTGAAATTCCTGGTCTTAGAGTACACACCTAGATACACTTTTCTTCTTTCACTTTGCCTTATTATTTTCACATGATGTGAAATCAGTTCATTTGAAGATAAGTTATGGAAAGGAATCATAAGGAAAGGTCCTAGCAGTTGTAAATTAGAGCTGCAGTGATATGCAGACCTTCTCATTACAACTGAAAGCATGGCTCATTATCAGGAGCATCAGGTCGTGTTTATAGCGCTTCCTTGTTCAGGTGCTTACAGCTTAGACAAAGAAGAAATCATAGGAGTTGGAGAAATGAGTAGGAAAATAAGAAGCAGAAGTAGAATCAAACAAGTCTTGAAAATCAAGAAGACTGAGCATGGTGGTCAGTAATGTGAGATTTGGTATGGGGAGCCATTCACTGGTAACAGAAAAGCAACACTGCTGTTACTGTAGTTATTGAGTAAAGTCTAGAGGTGAGATATCATTAAACCACAACCCTCTAATGGACCATGTATGGACCTGCTGTAATATCACTTAACATTTGCTTATTTATTATGAAGTCTCTAGCAGGACTTTTCTGTGTTCATTCTCACCCTATTTCCTGCAGGCACGGTTACCACATCTATTACAATACTTGCAGCATGACAAAGCAAAGTTAGCCTACTGTTCCATTTTCATGTAGGTTTGGTTTCCACTTTTCATTCAGTATTTACAAAAATCTGCAGCATGACAAAGTAAAGCCAGCACTTTCAGCTATTTAACTGAAAAGCCAAACTATAGACTTACAGAGATCTTTTGGGCTTCGTCCACGTTTTCTGGAGTTTTGATGGAATAATTGTGGCAGGAGGTGAGAGTCTTAACCAGTAACTCCTTACCTCCAAGAAACTCAAACATCTGTATGTATCAAAATTAATATTCAATTAATTGGTGACTGAAAAATTAGACAATGAATCCACAATAAACATATTAATGCACTCAATAGATGCATGCTTTTTTAAAAAATAAATTTGCATAAAATCTAAGATTAAAATCTTAACAAAGTGAATATTTTGATCCCTTCTTTCTTAATTGGGTCTGTAATCTCATTTTGCTTTACATCTGAATTTCAAACCTCCCAACCCTTTCCTCTATTTATTCTTCTCTTATTTTTTTATTTTCCCTAAATCTTTCTTTATTAAAGAATTTTATTTATTTTATTTTCTTATAAAATAACAGAATTGGTAAATATAAAATGTCTTAAAGATCATCTTTCTCTAGAATCTAGGCCCAGTATCATGGTATATTGTATCTAAATTTGTTAATTTCTTGCTTCCTGTATCTCCAAATTGATGTGTGTCTTTTAACTGGGCCTTTTAAAATTGTATGTTTTCTTTCTATTACAAGTGAGTATATACACCAGTACAATTCAATATCAATCATAAATCCTGACTGGAATTGTGTCATTTGAATTTGACAAAAATAGATATAAAAACACTGATCATTTTTAGGAAATAGTAAACAATGAAATAAAAAATATTTACATATTGATCAATGTATAATCTTAAATATTATATTTCAAATATATTATTATTAACTTGTTATTCAAATCTGATCATCAGCTACTGTGCAAAAGTTTAATGGATTACTAGGAATGTTAAAAATTTGAAAGAGGGTCAGTAAAGAATGAAGAATGAGAAACTTATGAGTAAGAACACAATAATAACACATCTATTGCAAAAGCAGAGACATATTCTCTTGATGCCCATTGTTCTACTGAAGCCTTATAATTTTTTCTCCTTTATGTTTACAGACCTTGAACAGATAACATATAGTCATCTGGAGGAGAAAGCCTATGTTTTCTGTCAACCAGCCCCCTCTAGTACTGGATATCTCTAACAGGATTCCTAACACTGGGAGATCCTGAAAAATCAATTAGTGTTTTTCCTCCCTCTTGACATGGTTTCCATTTGGATTGGTTCTGTTTCCTACACCCAACTGACTCAAATGCAGTTCAAACTTCTTAGGTATCTGCAGTGAACTAAGTGAAAATATTTCTTGTTCCTTAAAAGCTAGATCTGGATATCAGAGTTCTTTTCTATCCACAATGATTACACTTCTATTTTACAATAATATTGTTTTAATTAAAAAGTAAAAAAAGTAGAAAATCACACAAATCATTTTTTTCTATTTATTTTTCTGTTTTTCTTTTTTCTTTCAAATCATGTTCCCTGCAGCTTTCCCATTCTCATTTTACTGATTACTGCCAGAGGCTTCTTGTGTAATAGTACAAGAACGTAATATCACTATACCCTTGTGGAGGTGTTGCTTTAACACTTTCTCTTTTAAGTCCACAGAATGTCATTAGCATGAAGTCTTTTGTGACAGAAAAGGTGGAAATAAGTGAAGCACTTACGAATTGGTCAGATGACTCTGATGACGAACTTAGCTGAGTCCAAATGAGGGGAGTGGCAAAAAAAAGTAGTGAGTAAAGAGACAAAATTGCATATTTATTAGAAAAAGCGACATTCTCTGGGTACCCATTTCTGTCCTGAAGCCATCTCTTGTCTCCTGCATGACCCTGACTGACCTTGAACAGCCCTCAGGAAGACAGAGCTGTTTCTTTCTAATCCAGCCTTCCCAGTGAATAAACTTGTGTTCCAGAAAACTTCAAACCTGATCCTCAGGATTTAGAGTTTATGAGAAGCTTATATCTTGTTGTTATTTGCTTTTTCTCCACTTGAATTACCACAGTTTAGATTCATTCTGTTCCTTCCCTGTACTTCTTCTTTATTGGATGTCTCCAGTGTGCTAAGTAAAGATGGCAACAGAGACTAGCTTTGTAAAAGCAAGATCACAGAATCACAGTTCTCTCTTGGATACAACTATTAAAGTATTGTGTTCCAAGTGCAAGGATATTTTAAAATAAACAATAATTTTTGAAAAAGCAGAAAAACCTTAGAAATCCTTGTAATCTTGCAAACCAGAGATTTCCTGGAGCTGTCCCATTTTTATTCGACATTTTATTTCCTGGCACTTTATTTTACCCGTGGAGGTATATTACTTGAACTTGGATTTGAAGTTTCCCCATGCTAAATTCAAGCAAAGTCATTGAGATGAAGGCTTAGGGGAAAGAAGATAGAAGTAAGGGAGGTACTTACAAATTTGTCAAAAAATTTTGCAGACGACTCACTGATGGTCTGAGACAGGGTGAGAAAAAAAAAACTAGTAAATTAAAAGACAGCCTAAATGCATATTTATTGCAAAAAAAGACACATTCTTTGGATACCAATTTCTATGCAAAAGCCATGTGTACTTTCTCCTCCTTGAGACTGACTGACCGACACACAGCTCTCAGGAACAGAAAACCGTTCCTTTTCTAAACTTGCATTCTAGTTGAATAAACTCATTCTTTGTACCTCCTTAAACAAGGACTCCCAGCATTTAAAAGTTTGAGAAGGTAATGTTTGGTTTGGTTGTTTGTTTGTTTTCGTCGTTTGTTTGTCTTTTCCTCTTGACACACTGTCATAATTTAGATTAGTTTAATTCGTTCCATGGGACTCACTGTCGTGCATTTCTTCTCTATTGGATTCCTGTCGTGTGCTAAGCAATAATGCTAACAGATACTGGCCTCCAGCAAACAAGGTAAGGAAATCAGAGCTCTCCCCTAGATGTGTCTATTAGATTTTTATGCCGCAAATGGAAATTTAAGAAAATTTAAAGATAAGTAGGGGAAATTTCGAAGCTCATTGAATTCTTCAAAGATCTTTGAGATTTCAGGAAACTTAACCCATTCTCTTACATTACTTTTCAATAAAGGTTGTTTTATTTTATTGTTAGAAAGGTGCATTATTTGTAACACATCTTTATGTAAGCTGTAAAGGAAATTTGGCTCATGTTAATTATAAATGTGGTACAGGACAATCTTTGACAGGGAGGTTGCTTTATGAAAAAAATAAGTAAAATAGATATAAGTGAAGTACTTACAAATATCCTGCGCATTTCAGTGTTAAGCTTACTGATATCCTGAGACAGTATCAGGGCATGATCAAACAGATCCTTCAGGTGTAGCTGATCATCATCAGTCTCATCACTACTAAAAGGCACAGAGACCACATTTTCCCATAAAAGGAGGTTTGATACCAGCAGCAGCAGAAGGGCCCCTACTAACAGAAACAAGAGCCATTCAGATCCAGTCATCCAAAGTTACCAAAAGAAATTTCATCGTATTTGCCCAGCGCCTTCCCTGTGTGATCTGATACTGTATAGCAGTGGTAGTGAAGAAGCATCTCTCACTGTCAAAATGTAACTAAATTGTTATATTTGCACAAGTATATAGTGTCAGAACTTCACAACTTGATGACTTCCCACAGCCTGGGATTGATATCAGAAATAATTATGAAATTTTCATTATTGGAAGATTAAATTAATTGTCTTCTAGTTCAGTTTTGTAAGAATTTTGAAGAATTTATGCTGGTTTTCAATGATCACTTCCTCCAAGACATCACTTTTCCTTTACTTTTTTAGATTAATATAGTTGCTTTATTTACCCTTCCCTTTCCTCCTCCCAATCCCCCCATACAATTCTCCTTGCTCTGTTTTAAATTCATGGCCTTTTTTTCTCATTAATTGCTGTTAGGTACATATATGTATGTACATTCATACATACATAGAGATATATGTATGTATTTTCTTAAATATATATTGGCAACCTGTATAATGTTACTTGTATGTGAGATTTTCAGGGAGGACCATTTAGTGTTGATAACCGATGGGTGTGCTTTTGCCTGGGGAAGATTATTTCTTCTACTCTTACCATGCCTAGTTCTTTGTGTAGATTTGAGCCCTCCTGGGCTTCACTTCATTCATGTTAGTATGCCTATTATTTTTGTCATTATTCAACTCATGCTTAGGCAATCATGTTGGTGAGACTTTATGGGTATAGCTTCTGACATTCCTAGGAGATTCAATCTCAGAGCAAACTCTCTCTTCCTCTGCACAAAACCCACACCTAAGGCTCAAAAGTCATTGCTGAAGATGGGAAGGAGAAATATGAGTTTTTCTGACTAAGTGTGCAATATGTGCTTTTGACAGGGTAGCATGGTAGCTTCCATTTTATCTTCATGCCTGAAAAGAGTAAACACATGAGTGACTGTCGTGTAACACTGATCATGTTGGGATTCCTGTATGAAAAGGCACCTCTGGACTGGCTTTAGTATCTTATGGTAATTATTCTATGAGTTTGCCATTTTACAACAATCTTCAGAGTGTCTTTTCTATGAAGTTGAACTTTCTGATACCCTTCTGGGTAGACTGATCCTGTGTAATGTCTTTCCACAAACCATTTTGTGGAAAGAGAAAGCTGGTAGAATTCATTGATATGTCCCTGTATCTTGTATCAGCTGTTGTATGGCATACTGTCAACACTATGGGCTTTGCATTATGCATTGTGAGTCAGTACACACCCAGGATCTCTCAGTTATAACTGGGTTGCAGAGAACACATCCATCGTCTTGAGGCTCAGTGTCAGCAGATGTTACTTGTAGAGATTAAGCTTTACCTTTGAACATTTGATCACAGAAACCCCACTAATCTTTATTTTATTTATTTGCCTCACTCAATAAAACAACCTCTTTTAAATGAGTTTTCATGGTTATAAAATATGTTAGTGTCATTATCAAATTACATTTTTATAGGTGGACAATATAGAACTCTAGAATACCCATAATTAATGCTTTCAAGAGGATGAAGCATCATGTAACTATCAAATTTGTTATTTTTAGTGAACAAATCTGAAAAAGTGCCTCTTGTATAGAATCTTTGATAAACACAATTTAAAATGTTCAAAATAAAATCAGGGTACTGATAAGATTTATTAATAGGAAAAAGGACTAGCCAAAAAAATTCAAAAACAATTAAAACATTAGAAAAGATTATATAGTATAAAATGAAACCACCAGTTATTTATAAGCAAAATAAAAAATAATTCAGATAAACACATTTTAAATTATTGTTTTTGTTCTTTAGGTTTATGAAAATTACATCATTTCCTTCTTTCCTCTCTTTATCTCAAACCCTCCCATATGGCCTTATCCTCTTTCAAATTCACAACTTTCTTTTCTTTAGTTGTTACATGTATATACATATATATATATATATATACATTTATAAGCATATATGTATGCCTTACTAAATATATATATACAATGTACATACATATATACACATTTATATGCATATATGTATGTCTTACTAAATACATATATACTAGTCACTATAACAATATTTGTTTATGATTTTAGGATTGACCATTTGGTATTGGATAAAAATTAGTGCACTCTTATCTCATGAAGGCTATTTCTTATTGTATAACTAAAATGTCAAAAATCATGATGCTTTCACTAATTTGTTTTATGTATGGTAGATATACATGTATACAGTAAGTACATGTAAAGTCCATCCATTTATCAAGTGAAAGATACCCACAGTTTAATCTGAGCACAAGGAGATAACGATACTGGATTTTTTATCTCATAAAATCTAATTCGTGTTTGTTACCAATTCTTTACTTAGAAATTTTATCAAGAAGAAAAGGTAGTATTACCATATTATCCCTTTTGAAATATATTTTGCTTGAATGATAATTTTAAAGTTGTATAGATACCTATCTGTTACCCTTGAACACTAAGTCCCCACATTAGAAAATATAATTAAGTTCATTCAGGTCAAGCATCTCCTAGCAGAGATCCAGAAACCAGAACATGGTACATTCTTCCTTCTACAGTTACTGCAAATTTAGTATGAAATCTCCTTTTACGTCATCCAGTCAAATGTCTCAATTTCTGCAATTTACTTTTTGATGTTGATCATTTCATACCATGATCATCTGAGGTTGTATAAGCAAAAGACTTGCTCTTACCACTAGATACTGATAAACTTCCTTTTTCTATTTAGCTCAATTAAGAAAATTCAAAATGTCTCTAGACATTTCTACATGTCGCCTGGAATGAAGACTCCTTTTAACAACCACTGATCCGAGTGTGCAGTGTATTTGCTTTCTAGAGCAATGACTAGAAAGTATTTCTAAGCTTTATCTGATTTTACTTGTCCTGATTAAGCATGAACAAATAAATGTCTGTTCATTCTATATAGGGTAAAAATGACACCAAAAATGTAAATTCTTCAAAGGCTCTTGTAAATCAATGGAGTGTCTTATCTTACTTAAAAGAACACAAGGAAAGAGTTACTTACAGGAGCATGGTTGAGAGAAAGACAGTGGCATCTCTGAGGCGTTCTGGCACAGCTTGGCTGTTTCGCTGCAGTCCTACCTCCAGTAAAGATTCCACCTCCATATATAGGCCAGTGAACCATGCTCAAGGCCACACACTGCTAGGGGGCAAGAAGAAGGAGCATCTGTAATGAAGGTGAGGGCCATATGACTCTTCAGCTTCAGGAAGTACAAACATCTGCACGACCATGATGACTCAAGGAGTCAATATGACCCTTTTACTTTATTTTGGGACTATTACTAAGGTCCAAATTAAGTTGCAAATCACTGTAGACTTCTCTTCTCCATAAAAGCTCTTATGAATTCCACATGCTACCAAAGTATCTATGTCCCAGACTTTGACTTTTCTTTGGATACTTAAGTGTTTCTGTCACTGTATCTTGGTTAGAGTCACATTTATGTCACTCTTTCTGAGCACTGCAACACAAAGTCTCATTCAGGACAGTTTACCATTTGTAATTTTTTTTTGTGGAGAGAGTATCCAGGGAATATGGTAAAGTGTTTTTATTCTGCATATTAGGCACAATAGGCCAGTAATGTAAGGTGCAAATCCAGATGTGTAGAGTGTAGAGGATTTCTCTCTCTCTCTCTCTCTCTCTCTCTCTCTCTCTCTCTCTCTCTCTCTCTCTCTCTGTGTGTGTGTGTGCATACCGTGATTGTTGTTCTTTTGGTGTTTTTTTTCCCCTTTTTTGTAGCCTAACTACTTTCACTTAACAAAACATTATATAAGGTCTTCAAGTTACAGCTTAAAATATTATAAGCCCAGATTTTCAGCCAGGCTTACCTACATAAATATAGGTTCTGTCTATGGAACTGGGCCTAAATCTAATCAGAATGTAATTGGCTGTACCTATGACAGTTGTATTACAATTGATTGAGTATAGACATCAGAATTTGATTGTTAATTACATTTATTTGTTCTAAGCAGGTCCCTTTATGATATTTCACAGCCGTGGTCAGCATGGTGTTATCTGAAAGTAAAGCAAGAGTATGGAATCTTCATTTCAGTCACAGTTAGATATCTCTGTATTGTGCAACCATATCATGTGTTATACCATTCCATAGTATGTTAAATTTATTATTGATGCATCCATAACATTGACAGTGGTCTATATTGCATGGATAAACACTTCCTTAGAAATTATCAGCAGAGTCTGAACAGAATCAGAGTTCTTTGAGTAGAGGAGGAGATACAAGTGATGATCTTTGGCTGTTATGTAGAAGCTGGTTTTTGATGAAGAACAGGTCCATGAAAATCACAGAATTTGTTTAGGGCACTGAGGAAAAGGGAGTAGAAATGGAAATATAGCTATAAGAGTGAAAAGTGATTTAGTATCTCCTGTTAGAGATATTTGGAAAGTGTTTTGCCCTAATATTATATAGTACACTTTTCTCTAGAAAAACAAAATGTGCCATGATCAAACTTTATTCGATATCATATTGTATGCCAGAATTAAAAAAAGAATACCTGAGCATAAGAAATGTAAATTAAGCTTACCTTTTAAAGGACAGTAAAGCCTTTGGGGTAGACATTGTTCTTCTATCGCTGGACCCTTTCATCATACTGATCTAACCTACAGAGAGGACTTGGCCAAAGGGCGGTCAAGAGGTCATGAGAACCACGATTACTCTGAGGAATGAAGCTGTAAAGAGCAGACCTTGTCCCCTTTCGCCTATGACTAGGATGATCTGGAGTTCCACCCATATTGTCCATTCCATGGAGCACAGGAAGAGCCCCAAGATAATAAAGTCAAATGTCTCATTGAGAATGAGAGTCGCTTATAGAGAATTAAATGGACTAGTTATTCCCACTCAAGCTGCTCTGCTCATCATTCTAACTCATAGAGAGCAACCGAACAAAGCAAAAGATTTTTTCATTGTTTTAGTAAGAGCATGTTAATATTTTATACATACCCTTAATTACCAAATTCCAATACCAACTAGTTTCTACAATACTAGGTTTCCATACGGACTTTTAAAAAATATTTAGTTTTGCCAGGCAACAGTGGTGCATGCCTTTAATCTGGGCACTTGGGGCAGAGCCAGGTGGATCTCTGTGAGTTTGAGGACACCCTGGTCTACAGAGTGAGATCCAGGAAAGGCTCCAAAATTATGCAGAGAAACCCTGTCTTGAAAGCCAAAATTTAGAAAAAAAAAAGAATTTGGTTTTAGTTAACCTTCTTTTCCCCTGCCTTCGTTTCCCCCACATCCTTTAACATGTCTTCCTCCCATTAATCCTCTTTCCCCTTAACACTTTCCATGTTTTACTATTCCTTCTCTGTCCTGAAATTTTGCCATTCATTTCCTAGACCTTTGATTCTTTCATGAATTCTAAAGATACTTCAATTTAAATGCCCATATTTAAAGTTTCAAAGATAGGGAGCTAGAGGGATGACATAGAGGTAAAGAGTATATACTTTTCTTCTGTAGGATCTGGGTCTGATTCTCAGCATCTACTTCCGACAGCATAAAACTGTCTGTAACTACCGTTCCAGGAGAATCAAACTCTTCGGGCCTCCATAGGCACCTTCTCTCATGTGCAGATACCTAAACCCCGTAACACATATGCACATAACTAAGAAATAATAATATGTATTTTAAAAATTCAAATCTAGGATCCATACATGAAAAAGAACATTTGGCATGTGTCTTGTGGGTTTTGGTTACCTTATTAAGAATGATTTTGTCCATTTTCATCCATTTTCCTGCAAATTTCATTATCTTTAGAGCTGACTAAAAATTCATAGTGCATATGTACCACATTTTCTTTATCCATTCATCAGTTGATAGGTCTAAGCTATTTTCACTTCTTGTTTATTGTGAATAGAATGGTAATAAACATGGATAAAGAAGTATATACTTAGTAAGGTATAGAGTTCTTTGGGTATATACTCGGGAGTTGTATAGCTGGGTCATAATGTAGACCAACTTCTATATTTTTGATGAACTTCTGCATCAATTTCCATAGTGGCTACCCTATACTATATTCTCACTATGGAGCTATGTGGTAAAAAGACCTCTCTTCTATGTTGGAGACCCTATTTCATGGACTGTGACTCAAACTGAGTAAAAAGAAAAAAGAAGTAAAGCAATAGCATTTATCTCTCTCTGTTTATTGATTGTGGAAGCAATGTGTCAAGCCATCTCACAACCCCTGACACACCAAACTGTGTCCACTTACATGTAAGCCTCCAGAAACTTCCTTAGAAACTTCCTTGTTGGGTCTTTGATCATAGTAGAGGAAGGGAGAATTTGTACAAAGTTATTACCCATGGGTCATTACTCTTCACTGCCTTGAGGCATTTCCATAGGACTGTCTTGGTACAGGAAGTTAACATTGTCTCTGTACTTGCCAGGAGTAAATGGGAATATGATTACATCTTTACATACAGAACTTGGGTTGCTGAGGATACCTGGCTCCATGCTAGCACTATGGCTACATCATTTTTTAATCACCCATTTCTGTCTGCCGAAAAGTTCAGGGTTTTGTTAAAAATAAAAAAGTCTAATTTACCATGACCATTTAAGTTCAACTTAATCTCATGTCTTTGAGTAATAGTCTCCATTTGTGGTATGCATCATGTCTCCCATCAGGACAAACTACCTCAAATTTAATATCTCTCAGTAAAAAGTATACACTGTATATCATATTTGGAAAGCATGGCAACTCTAGTTTTAACAAAATAATTTCAAAAGAATATATATAATACACACGTAATACACATGTGTGTATGTGTAACAATATTAATTGAAGAACAAAAGACCATAAATCTGAGAGGGACTTTGCAGATTTACATGGGAATGGTCAAAGGAGGTTAAGGAAGGGGAAGTGGTGTAATTCTCTATCTCCAAATCAATAGTTGTTACTCACTATCTGATGAATTCTAAAATCCTATATGCTCTTCTTCACTTTACTGATTGCATTTATTTCTGTGCAAAAAGTATTTAATTTCATATAATACCACTTGTTCCTTACTGGTACTATTTCTGATTACTGAATCATTTTTATATAGTTCTTACCTTTATCTATGTTCAATGTCATTTTTTTTAGATTTCAGGTGTTATATATGTTATTATATACTATTGAATTTCTGTATTAATTTTTATATATGATGAGAAATATAGATCTAGACTCATTGTTCTAAATGTACATAAAAGTTTATCCAAGACATTTATTAAAGAACCTATATTTTCCCCACTATGTATTTTTATTGCTTCATTAAATATTAGATGGCTTTATCTCTGTGAATTTACACTTGAGTATTCTTGTTTTTATTTATTTATTTTATTTTATTGTTATTTTCTATTATGCCTGTGTGTTTTATCCCCTACATATATATCTATGCATTATGTATGTGCCTGTTGCCAAAAGAAAACTTTGGATTCCTTGGAAATGGAGATACAGGTAGTTAAGAGATGCTATGTGTGGCCTGGGAATTGAACTATGGCCGTCTGGAAAAGCAGTCAATGTTCTTAACTGCTAAGCCATCTGTCTAGTCTCTCACTTAATTTTTAACAATATTTATTTATGATTTATTTATTTGTATGCATGTTGTGGACGTGTGTATGACACACTATACAGTTGGAAGTCGCAGGAGGGCTTCTTGGAGTCAATTTTCTCTTTAAACCACATGGGTTCAGGGATCACTGGTCATCAGCATAGGGGACAATTGTCTTTACGCACGAAGTCATCTCACCTACCCTATTTCTGGAATGTCTGTTCTCTCTCTTTTGTCAGTTTTTTTTAACCAGTAACTTGCTGTTTTCATTATTGTGGTTCTATAGAAAAACTTGAAATTAGATATTGTGTTACCTCCAGGCTTCTTTCTTCTGCTTCTTATTGTTTTGGCTTTGTCAGGGACACTTTGTTTTCATTTTAATTTTAGATTTGCTTTACAATCTCTCCAGATCGCACATTGAAATTTTGTCCACCATTACATTGGACCTGAAAATCTTCTGCAGTAACACAGTCATTCCCATTAAATTAGTTCTGT